TCTTTAGTAAAATATACGAATGCTTTGGCGTCATCCGAGGCTTGCATTTCTTCGAGATCCTGGACAATTTCCTATATTCTTGTTAGACCAATGATCTTTGAAGATTGTATATACTCTTACCTTTAGCAAGGGAAGCGATGTCAAAAGGCCAATCTCAAGTTTCTCGCTATCCGCGATACCATATTCTTGTGGACAGATGAAATCGAACAAGACTTTAGATAGTTTATACAATTCTCGCAATTTCTCCAAGCGAACATCGGTTTTAGCTTTCGTTTGGCTACTGCCAGTGAAAAGTCGGAAATACTGGGGATATTAGCCAAGTTAAAGTTCTCTTCACGCAACCACTTACTGATTCTTCTTCACTATTCTTTCCGTTCAATACCGACTTTCTTCTAAACATGCGTCGGTGCAGTGTTCTGCTGCTTTCAGCCTTCTCCGCTGGTACAGTCTCATCCTTAGCATTTTCTGAGTTTTTGGATCGATCTTTTTCCCAAGCAAGCTCTATTTCTTCTTCCTCGAGAATGCTCTTGCTCGGAGTGAAGACCCATTCGAGAAATTGCCGATTGTGAAGGGCGTCAAACTTCATGGTATCGTATAGCTCAGAGATTTTGCTTGGATCTACTTTCTCAGGATCGGAAAATTCATTGAAAAGCTTCTCCCATCGTTCCTTGAATAGCTCGGCATCTTCACCACAGCACCAACGAGCTTGAATACTGCTCGTAGCGTTTGCTTGTGACAAAGCCGAACCTGCTCCTTTGCTATCCTTATCTCCAGGATTTACAATTGCGTTGAGTGATGTAGTGGCGCCTCCATAAAGTTTACTGAAATTATTACGCATAACTCTCCTATGGAATTTCATCAAGTGAACAACGTATTTCTGCACGATCGATGGTTCTGGCATATCAGCTGGCCAGGCAAACTCGGGAGGTGCTTCCATTCCTTGTCTCAACAGAGTCTTGAGCTTCTTCTTGACTTTATCCATCTCGTCTTTAGCTGCGTTGGAGTCATCGAGTAAATCTTTGCGAACAGTAATGAAATCAGATGCCAAATCCTTTTGATTTGTGAAAGCAGATGCCCATATTTGAGCACTGGCCGTGACACGTCTCTCGGAGCTACTGAATACATGAACTTCATCGAGAATGTCCTTGTTCATCAATTGAAGGTCGTTTCGCATTGTTTCACCAAGCTCTTGTGCTTGATATCTAGCCGAGTGAGTGGGCTCACCACCCCATTTGACAATGAGCTGGAGTTTGTCCAATACAAGGCTCTCCTCCGCTGCGGTTATACGAGATAAAGTAACGCCAGATAACGAGTCATTTCGAGTGGGCGATCTTCTTTCAAGATTCGCAGCAGTCTTTGCTTTATCAGAGTGTTCAAGACTTGGATCAATTGCAGCAAGGTCTTCTGGCGCAGGAGGTGGTATCTCAGAATTTGGGGATTCCTCAGGCTTTCTTTTTCGAAACATGGGCTTAATTTGTACTTTTGTGCCTGTCCATCCACCTTTCTTCGCTAGAACATTCCTTAATGATTTCAGCTTTTCTTTATCCTCGATACCCTCATACGCTGCAGCATCAACCGCAAGCATAACGCTATCCAACGCAGCTTCGCCTATCAGTAGGACTTCTTCTTGATGACCTTTAAGAAGATCGATAAAAGGTTTGGTGTGAAACGTATATTTGTATTTCTGCTTGGGTGTGCGATCAGCATGTCGAATTACAGATACCATACCTTTGAGCTTCCACGTATGTTTGGGTGCCGGCGGTGGTAGTGTCTGTTGATCTTGTCCAGGAGTAGGCGTGGGTGTAGGCGGGATTGTAGACGTAGCAGATGGCACTTCGCTGGGACCAGACACCGCAGGCGGTGGCAACAATTCTGCGGAAGGTATGACGGAGGTGTCCTGTTCCGCAGCCAGTGGAGGTGAGGTCTTCGGAGTTGGGGCAGCTGAGCTACCAGGCTGAGGAGAACCTGAAGTGGAAAGTCTATGTGATCCATGATTAGGAAGATGTCCGTGAAGCATGTTTGACATGCTAGGTGATTTGGAAAGGATGTTTTGTAAGGCTGACCGATGATTATCTTTGAGCACTGGCTCTTTTCTTATAGCAGTGGGGCTCATTGTTCCGTCGGTAGGGGAGGTCACACCACTAACGGGTTGTGATTGCCCAATATACTTTTGCTTTTCGCGAACGAACATATCTTTCAATATACGTGCACATTGCTCATAATACTCCTCGTTGTCTTTTACAAAACTCCATCCATTAACATCAATGACGTAGCTTTTCCCTTGCGCACGTAAAAGGTCGAACCCGCATACTCTCTGACCGAAACTGTTAGCAATTCGAGTGGCCATAGCGGATTCTTCTTTTGTCAGAGCTGTGATGTAACGGATTTCCTTGCCATGAGTATTACGTCTGACCAGGCCATCAACAACGGGGGATTTGCGAGTTTCGGCGTGGCAAAAGGTTGGCCCAACAGTATATGCTTTCACATCTTCGGCATTATCGACACGCATGAACTTCTCATATAGATAACTGCTTCCTGGTTCGGAAATGGCTCGAGGAATTGTGAGATCTTCTACATGTTCAGAACTCTTGTTGCCAATCTTCCGGAAGAGCTTTCGACCTCCTCCGCCTTGACTTTGGGGATAGTATATGCAGACATTGTGATCTTCACCACTGACTGGTTTCTCCACAAATGGCTTAGACAATAGTACACCATCAACACTCAAAGTGTCTCCGTTGTCGATAAGTTCAACCGTCTTGGGAGCCACCATCTGACCACCAGTTCCATCTTCGGGTCCTTCTAGGACAAGACCAGTGGTGTCCTTCAGATGCTTTGCCATCTCCGGTGTGAAGACAGCTGGACCTCCATCACGATTCACTTCTATACGCTTGGGTGTGGGCACATTTATTTTGTCGAGGATTCGTAAACAGATCCTGCGATCCCATAATATTTTCTGCATAGGAACATCATTGACACAGAATGGTTTTCGTGCGTGCACATACGCAATGGCTTTGTCGAGTGGAAATCCGTCTGAGTAAAAGGAAATCAAGAAATCACAGATTGGCCAATTCTCGACTTCCTCATCCAAAATAACTTTATCCCCAAATATGACAACCTCAAATTCGCCTTTTGAAATCAAGCGATTGAGGATATTTCGACTGGGTTTGCTTCGTGCTTTTATGTCAAGGGCACATACTCCTATAACGCCCCAAGGTGCTGGCCTATTCTCATCTTCTTTTTTCAGATGTAGGCCTCTCTCACTGCTAGGGCTGTGGCTGCTGGCGCCGGTGCTACCACTGAAACGTCTCTTTGCTCGACTCCTGGATCTTTGTGGGGGTTGAGGTCGTGGTTGGGCCTCGCCCCTGGCAACAGAATTTCGTTTTGCTAGCTCTGCAGCTTGAGCTGGTGGTTCTCTCGCTGTAAGTTGGTGCCCATTCGGTGCGTTTGGTCCACCAGAAGTAGTGGTAACAGATATGTTCGAAGTTTCTGGTGGAGATACTCCCAGTCCTTTCACTGACGAGACTGATGCTGAGACTGATGCCGTAGTTGTTCTTGTACTTCCTCCGTTCTCAGAACCAGTTGCAGATGCCGCAGAACTTATTACACCACCTGCTCTGGCTGATGCTAAAGAGTACATTGAGGATACTGACATTCGTTTTCCATCCATCTCTGTAATTGATGCTCGGGGTCGAAGAGTAGGCTCAGGAGTTGGTACCGGCACACTCTTGTTATCGTCTGCCATTGTTAAATTTGTTTTGGGGGTCTGGTCTTCCGCCATTGGTAAATTCGTCTTTAGGGGCTCAGACTCCTCGACAGCAAAATCTTGACGACTAGTGCCTGTCCCTTCTAAGTTTAAGCTTTCTTCCAAAACTGCCAATGCAGCCGGCGATCTTTGGCTGTATGTAGAAGAAGTTCTAGACTTTGATAATGTTCTTGTAGGAGGTGGTGGCATAGAAATACTTGCTCGTTCGGAATTGAGTTCTGCGTGTATCAATGGTTCTGCGTGCCTCCCTTTCCTGCTCAATGACGCAAGAATGCCACTGCCGGACGATAAGCTGAGCGAAGTCCTTCTCACTTTAGGTTTGGGACTCAGGTCCTTTGTTGATTGTACTTCTTGGCTTGAAGAATTGGATTTGTTGAATGTTGAAAATCCGACCGCCTGTTTATCGGAACTAGGATCATTAGTTTCCATCACTGCGCTCTCACCTTCTTGTGCCATGATTGCGGGAAATTGTTATCAGCAGGTCCACGGGTATCTGAGGTGTGCATGTACTGGGTTAGATGTGTAGTTTGAAAACTACTGTCAAACTCTTGAAGGGAAGGACGGGAATTGGAAAATGAAACCAGGACTTGGACATGAGAAAGCAAACAAATCATGGGCTATACTACTGTGGATCTACCAATATTGAATGCTGGCAGTTTAAGTGAATGAATGGTAGGGAGAGAAAGATATATTTTCATTTTTCCAGGTTACACAATCTTATCGTGGCAGATGACGATTAATGCAGCAAGCAAGAGGAAAAAGGAAATTCAAAGAACAAGACGACGAATGAGAAGGTATCGATTAGATAGCATTGACGAAGATGTATGTGTGAGAGGTAGCATTGACAAAGATGTGTGAGACGGGAGTTATTAGATCTCTAGGTGTCAGGAGAGGATAACATTCACTCATATCCATGGATATTGGGGAACTGATGTATGGATGATATGGATGATATGGATGTCATGTTATGTTGTGTTGTGAGTGAAGGAGGGAGTGAATACAGATATAGAAAGGTACCGAGTAGGTAAGATCTTACCTACCGTGGACCTATGGAGCTGGAGTAGTAAGCCAGTGGCTGACAGTAACAATAATTAAAAATACTAGGTAATTATCGCTGTCTTACCTCTCTCTCCAGCTACGATAAGGCTGTTCCAAGGTTTCCAGTGATAGCTGGGGCCCGGCTCTTCCCCACGCCTCACTCATGTCTGTGAGCCTCCAGCTAGTACAGATAGGTACAGGGATTAATTGATTACATGGTATCGTATCGTAGAAGAAAAAAAAAAGTTCACCATCCATACTACGACAGAAATATTGATTTTTTTGCATCATATTGGTTCCCGTCAAGAACACCGGCGCAAACAACAAGCAAGCGCATTTGATATAGGAAATAGTGTTTGAACTTGTTAAGATGCCTTCATCGCTTGCTACTAATGTTCAAGATGGTCCAATTGTAAAAAGACAAAAATTGGACGTTACCGATGCGCCCAAGAAAACTTTGAGAGAATCGAGAATCTTTACTCCATTTCGTGTTGGTCCTCCCCTCTCTCCCATTTGACCATATTGCTGACTTCCATAATAAGACAATTGGTCTAGTATCTTCAACTGCCGTTCCCTTCACTTCGATTCCACTCGGCAAAACCACATTTCAAATCACAACCTCCGTAGGAAGATGTTTACAAACGTACGACCTCAAAAGAGGACTCAACCTAGTCTTCCTCACCAGGCCACAGACACCAGCAGATATAACCGCTACAATAGCATGGAAAGATAAAGTCTTCGCCGCATGGGGAGGTCAGGACGAAGATGGTAACCAGGGTCTCTGCGTATTCAAGAGAGGAAAGAGGATTGAGGAAATACCACTCCCAGCAGATCTAAAGGAGCCAATCAAGCAGATTTTGGTCTTTGGCACCTGGATAGTAGGATGCTGTTCAACCAGGATAGAAGTCTGGAAAACCTCGACATACGAACACTATACGACTTTGCACACTACCGCGGCGCAGAAAGGTGGAAACGAGATTACTGGAGGAATCTGTAATATGCCAACATATCTGAATAAAATATTCGCTGGAAGGAAAGATGGTGGAGTTGAGATATGGAATGTCAGCTCCGGGAAACTGATCTACACCCTGTTACCACCAGGTCCAAACTGTGGAGCTGTAACCGCTCTACAACCCACACCAGCATTATCTCTTCTAGCGATCGCATACTCCGAAGGTCCTCTGATAATTCATAATGTGCGAACAGATAAGACAGTCATCCATCTCAATGGCGGATCTGAGTCCACTATCACTTCAATATCTTTCCGGACAGATGATCTTGGAGCTGGGGAGGATGGTAAAAAGCCCGGTGTAATGGCTACTGCAGGACCCGACAATGGCGATGTGACATTCTGGGATCTTAATGGGGGTGGTAGAGTTATGGGTGTTCTTCGAGGTGCCCATAATCCACCTTCTGAATCTGGCGCGACAGTTAGTGGAGGATTGAGCAAGGCCGAATTCCTCTCTGGGCAGCCTGTCCTAGTCACCAGCGGCTTGGATAACTCTTTGAAATCTTGGATCTTCGATGAATCGCCCTACTCTCCAATACCACGAATTTTGCACTCGCGCAGTGGGCACGCTGCGCCAGTCACGCACCTTCAATTTTTACCTACTGATGCGGATGGTGCGGACGCAGGTGGAAAATGGCTGCTAAGTGCTGGTAAAGATCGAAGCTTGTGGGGATGGAGTCTTCGAAAGGATGGACAAAGTACGGAATTGAGCCAAGGAAATATACGAAAGAAGGCGAAGAAAATGGGTATACTAGCCCAATCTACATTGGCAAATGAGCCTAGCACGACCCTTGAGGATCTTAAAGCACCGGAAATTGTATGTCTGGCATCGTCATTAAATCGAGACGGTGGAATGGGTGCACATCCTGGAACTGGGGCGATTTGGCAAAAGGGCCATCTGCAAAAGAAGGGTACAGATGCGACAGCAAGTGGGGTCACGGGATGGGAAAGCGTGGTCACTGGTCACAAAGATGACAAATTCGCCCGAACATGGTTTTGGGGAAGGAAGAAGGCGGGACGATGGGCATTTGAGACTGGTGATGGTGGAAATGTCCGAAGCGTTGCTATCAGTCCATGTGGCACCTTTGCAGTTGTTGGATCAGAAACTGGTGGACTCGATATGTTTAACCTTCAGTCTGGTCTTCACCGACAACGATACCCCTCAAAACTTACACCCGCACAAGCAAGAAAATTAAAAATTCAGCAATTACAGGCTGCCGAGACTGGCAAGGAGATATCTTCCGAGACGGTAAAGAACTTTCAACCTGGACTTGGTAAACACAGAAAAGCGGTAACGGGCGTGGTTGTTGATTCACTGAACCGCAATATCATCAGTTGCTCTCTCGATGGCAAGATTAAATTCTGGGAATTTGGAACTGGTAACCTTGTCGATGAAATTGATTGGTTCCCAATGGTATCTATCACAGGAATGAGATACCATGCGCCGAACGATCTCATTGCTGTCTCGTGTGATGATTTGTCTATTCGAATTGTTGACATCGAGACCAAAAAGACCATCAGAGAATTATGGGGGTGCCAAGGGGGTATCAATGATATGTGCTTTTCTAATGATGGACGATGGGTCATTGCAGCCTCGAAAGACTGCGTGGTTCGAGTTTGGGATCTTCCGACTGGCCATCTAATTGATGCAATGCGAATGGAAACTCAATGCACTGCGCTCGCCTTTTCTGGAACAGGAGAATTCCTAGCCACGACATGCGCAGGACAAGTTGGAGTCAATCTCTGGAACAACAAAACTCTTTTCACACATGTTCCTACTCGACATATATCCGAGAAAGAAATTGCTTCTATCACGGCACCAACTGTTTCCGGTGAAGGTGGCCATAACGTCATTGATGGCGCATTCCAAGATGAGGATGAGAGTGCTGAGGATTCTGCACCTGCTTTGTCGCTGGATCAACTAAGCAAAGACATGATGACTCTCAGTGTGGTTCCAAAGAGTAGATGGCAGACTCTGATTCATCTAGATCTTATCAAAGCTCGTAACAAGCCCACAGAAGCACCAAAATTGCCAGAAAAGGCACCCTTCTTTCTTCCATCAATCGACTCCGCGGCAGGTCCATCAACTCAAGAAGAAAAATCGACAGATAGCGCCGCCGAAAGATCACGCATCATGAAACTCGACCGCATTGCTGCCGAACGCTCCTTTACAGTGACTCTCCGATCTGGCGGCGAGTCAGGTGATTGTAAGCTTCAAAATCCCCCTTTCCCTCCCTCATTTACCTATCATTATGCTAATATGTCACAGATACACCATTCATCGACCATCTCAAAACTCTCTCTCCATCCGCTGCTGATCTTGAAATCCGCTCCCTCTCACCTACTTCCAACGAATTGATCCACTTCATCCACGCACTTACTTCACGTCTTTCACAAAAGAGAGATTACGAATTAGTACAAGCATGGATGGCTGTATTCTTAAAATTACACAACGAGGAAGTAGCTAGTAGCGAGGAGCTGAGAAATGCAGTCATGGAATGGAAAACGCAACAGGAGAACGAAGGTGCGAGATTGGGAGACTTGGTAGGTTGGTGTGGAGGTGTGGTGGGATTTTTGAGAAGCCCTAGAACTTAGGATGTGCTGTTTGATTTTTTGTATAAGAGCGGTGGTAGATTTGCAGAGTTTAAGATCCTACGTACCTAGCTAATGTCATGGAAAGATGTATATCTGCACGTGTTTGCTTTCTGTTAAGAAGCTTTGGTTCTTGATTTTTTGGTACGAATTAAGAGTTTCACTCTCAAAACTCAAATAAGAAAAGTCCGGAATTTTTACAATCAAATGAGATAACAATATGCAATATCTCAACATCCGCATTGCGTGCTCACTAACAACGAGATCCACCCCCCAACCCAACACAGCATTCCCTCCCCCCCCCCCCCCCCCACTCTATCTCCAAGTATCCTCCACCGACCCCTTCGTCGCGCAACCCGCCGGCACCGTAAACACGCGATTCGGATCACTTTCCCACGTCGGCGTCCCCCCAGTCCCCACATTCACATACTTGTACTGCACCGCCTGACCCGGCGGCAACAAGACGGTTCCCGACCACACGGGATTCGCACTCGTGTAGTTGGCGGCCGAGAGGGCGACGGCGGCGGAAACATCCCAGTTTCCGAGGGCGTCGACCGAGCCGGCGATTTTGATGGTTTGGCCGTAGGTGGTTGTGCGGAGGGCGCTGAAGGTTATGGGGATTAGGGTGGGGGTGGAGGGGCAGGTTGTGCTTGCGGTGGTGGTAGATTTGGTGGATGTGCTGAGGGTGGTGGAGGTAGAGGTAGAGGTAGAGGTAGAAGATATTTTACTCGTGGTAGTTGGGGAGCCGCCGCTACCTCCACCGCTACCAGAACCAACAATGGCGATATCGGCACAGGTCAGATAGATCTGGCCCGTCTGGAAGGAATTCCACTTCAGAGAAATGAGCGTGTGATTCGACGCGTAGTTTGGGATCTTGATTTTCCTAGTCACGGTATATCCGCCCGCGATGGACGTATAGCAGGAGCCGAGCGCGGCGCCATCCACGCCTTGACATCGCGTGCCGCTGTTGAATCCCTTGCAGGTGAACCAGTCGTTGCGATAGCATGCTTGTCCGGGCGTGCAATCGGCGTTGTAGTCGCAGGTGGCGCCGGTCACATCGGTACAGGGGAGGAGACCCGCGTCGAAACAATCTTCCGCGGCTTGTTTTTCGGCGGCTGTGGGGATGTAGCCTGCAGTGATGAGTTTGTTCACGAGGGATTGGTCTTGACAGATGCGCCAGCTGAACATGCCGCCGTGGTCGCCGTTGTGGTCCACGCACCATTGGACGTCGACGGTTTGCCCGGCTGTGTAGGTGGTGACGGGTGTGTTACCCCAGTTTGTGGAGGGGTAATTGTAGTCGACGCTGACGCGAGCGTTGTAGCCGCAGGGACCGCTGCGTCCAACTGGTGCGGTGTTGAGATCGGGCCACGAGGTGACAGGCTCGAGAATGGTGCATTCGGGACATGTGTCGATGCCAACCTTCGATTGTTAATGTGGGAATGGAGATAGGGTGATGGAAGCTTACTGAATGGCCGATGCTGGTTCGACTAGAGGGGATGTTCATATATCCATGTCCATCTACTAAAGACGCCAAGTTGGCTGCTGCCAGCACATATAGAATGCTAATAGATCTTGACATTGTCATATAGGTCATATAGTATATCCTTCAATGTCTTTTCTATACAGGACACTTGGAAGGGAAGAAAGAAGATAAACTTGTTCTTTCAAAAGCCATAGGGTTTTTGGCTCTTCTTTATAGTTCCTAGTGAGATCGGCTCAATACAAGCTACGAATCTACACATATGCAAGACTTTCCAATTCATACTTAGAAAACAGCTACAGTAAGATCCGGAACCTAGGTTAAACTGATGATGTTCAAAAATCAGGAGAATTATATTACGCCAAGCCGGTAATATCTGAACTTTGCAGTATGTGAAAGGCATTATTGAAGTTTAATCATATGTAAGTGATTTACACGCCACTAGGAAATTCCAAGTAAAACTCTAGAGCTATGAATGTAGCTCCCACGATTAGCAGGATGAAAAGCATTAAAGTCTCTCCATTGTCATGAAGACGACGTGAAGCTACCAGACAGGAATGAAGACAACAAATCGTATATTCCCAAGTATCAAACACAGGACAGGCTCAGAGAAAATCTCTCAAGAAACTCTCAACCATTCCACCAGACCTCATCTATCCATTCCCAATATCTTCCTCCCAGACAGACAACAGGCCCAACCGCCAAGACGGCAGAACCTGCACCTACTAGTCCTCAACAGAGCCCAAGTCACACTCCCCTATCCATCTCGCTCCTCAATCACCATCACCATCCCCCCATCCCCAAGCACTCATCCCCAGCCAGCCGCGCAGGTAGCTAATCGGTCCTTCACCCATCCCGTCTCTCCATCCAAGAACACATATCGAAGAAAAACACCCCAGTACACCTACACATGATATCCCCCACCCCGCAAACAGACTAACATTCGGTCCTTCTCAGCCCTCGCACCCCGCATTTCCAGGGAGAGAATTGCCGCATCGGAGAAGATCACAAATAGAGCTCTATCTCCGGATTGCGCTTGAGTTGTGCGAGACCCAACGGATCAAGAGTGAGTCCGCTTCCTACGCTGAGTTTGAAGATACTGTGAGGATGACGGGAAGAATGCGGAGGTGTGGAGAACATGGGAATGTGAAGTCGATGGGTTTGGTATCGATGGTTGTTTGTGGGTGAGAGGGATGTACTGAGATGGGATGGGATGGGGAAATTGTTATTGGTGTGCAGGTTTAACGTGGGGTAGACAGCGATTGAAGATGTGGTTACTTAACACCTGCCTTTTAGGGCGTTGCTGCGAATATGCAGGTACTAAATTAGTTGGAGTGTGATTGACATGGTTGTAGTTGCGGGAATGGCCGTAGGAGAACGTAACAGAACTTCAAAGCAATCAAGTTCTGTAGTAAAGCACTCGAGATTCTGTATGTGGTAGGTTTTAGCGGTAGTGTAAGACAGATTTCACATTTGAACTTCACTTCACATATGCAATTTATAGGGATCATTTTAAGTAAACAAAGTTGTTTATTTTCGGAGAACTAATGTGCGAGATAGATCTAGAAGCAAATATGTATCATAACGATACCATCTGTATCTACTCTATTTATTATACACATTGTTCTCATAAGAACATTCCTCCCCGATTGACGCACAATGTACGCCATCCCTCAACGCAATACAAAAGAAACATGCTTCCCAATGTTCCGAATGGTATTAATTCCTCCACCAAATAGGCAGATAAAATAATCCTCCCCAATCGCAACTTATGGCATATCATTGTTGCTCTAGATGAAATAAGCAGCTGCAAAGGCAGCAGCGAGCAAGCCACCTGAAATGGTGTTGGCCTCCATGGCTCCACCGGTGTGAACAACAGTGCTGCTAGTGCTGCTAGCGGGTCCAGAGCTCGTAGCTGAAGTCTTGATGGTGGTGGAAGCAGCGGTGCTGGTGAGAGTTGTGGATGGAACAACGGAGGTGGAGTTGGCGTATGTGCCAGTCACGACGCTAGGGGAAACGGAAGGGTAACCGGAAGCAGAAGTGCTGGGGATTGGAGAGAGGATCTCCAAAGAGCTGGTTGTTTGAGTGCTGGTAAGAGTGTTGGTGACTGGAACCGAGGTGATGACGACTGGAACGAGGGTATCGGTAGGAGCAGATGAGGAGTAAGCAGTGGTGTCGTAGATAGAAGGAGCGTATGGAGAGGATTTAATGACGGTTGGAACGAGAGTCTCGACGGGAGCAGAGGAAGTGTAAGCAGTCGTCTCGGAAGCCGGAGCAGAGGATGGGAGGACGATGGGGACGAGTGTCTCGACAGGTCCAGTGGCTATAAAAGATATGCTGTCAGTATTTTGATCTTTAAGATTATAACATGAATAGAAAAAGGCCATACTACAAGTGGTTGACTCGGTAGCCCATGCAACACCACGAACAACTTGACCAGCGCCGCTGACAGGGAGAACAAGTGCGACAAAGAAAAGCGCGAACATGGTGACTTTCTGGATGATAGACATAATGATTACTTTTGAGAGATGTGTTAAGTAAGAAGGTTGTTTATTTGTAGTGGTTGATAAACGAAAGTGATGTTGTTAATTTGATTTTTCGTTTGCAGTTCTGAAGTTGTTTTTGGAAGAAAGAAGGAAGACAGATGGGGAACTCTTGAAAGCTTATAAACAAGAAGTTTGTGATGGTGCGGTACAATTTGGCGCTAGGCGAAAGGTGAATGATATTGAGATTATGGCTCATATATTGATTGGTGTATCAAGAAGGTGAATGGGAAATTATGGTAGAATATTGCCAATCTGGTTCACCGTCGTGTTATCAAAAGCCTCAAATTACAGGTTGGTTTGGTTATTGGATTTGCACAGGATTCAGAAGTTAGCCACGTCTTTCCAAAGCTTGTTACATCATATTCCACAGTAGCAAAACAGGGGAATAATATCTGTATGATATAAATTCCTAGTTCCTGCTCTCCTAAGAATTCTCGTGAAGTGAATGAGAAGATAAAAATATCAAACTCTTTGACTTCAGAGGCTCATCTCCATATACCCATTCACTGTTTCTTCTTCCCAAGGTCCCATGAGAAGCGCATGCAAATCATTTTACTTGCAAATCAAGCTTGTATGGCATCTTGCCGTTTGGCCTCGGATGCCACAAGCAGCTTGAAATTTTCAATGATATCAAGACTGGTTCCACTAGAACTCAATTTGATGTTGATGATAATCCACCTCAAACTGTTGGATTTTCAAAGTTCAGCCTCCTTGGGATTCTTGAATAACCTTGGAATGTAACATCCTACAATCTTGTTTGTACACCGGAAGTGAATCTAAATACATATTTTTAATTCCAAATCTCATAGATTTAATTACATACATGAACAATAAATTAGTAGTGACTGACAGATAGAAAATCTCAATCATGCACCTCAAAGCAGAATCTTGTCCAACGGGTATGTAGTCTTCAACTTAAGCACAAATAATCCCAGGAGAAACGCATTTCTAGTACCTAAAAGCGGACAGAACCCAGCCACCTCTCATACCCAATGCCGCTAAAAATCAAAAGAGGGTCATAATCATGCCCTAAGTCGCATAAAAACATCAATCATACACATCATACCCGAAAAGTACAAATACAAACTCACGGACGCTCAGGACTACTGCGACCCTCGAGCATTTCCACCAACTCTGACACTTTGCCTTTGCCTTTGACCCGTCCTTTGCTCCTCCCGCTTTCAGCGCTTTCCGTTTTGGCTAATTTATTGCCATCTTCGATACTCAAGATTTCACTAGGTGTTCGACTTAGAGTTCCGCTTCCACTAGCTCCTATGTTTCTTCCTCTCATACTCCCTCCCTCGCTCAAATCTTCACGAACATCATGATTGACGACGCGCAATCTCTCCTTGGGCACGGTAAACATGACTTGTACCACCCGATCCTCAATCGCTCTTTCAATATCCCATTCTTCATCATCTTCATCGATCCCATTTACAAGCCCTCTAGCCTCACTAGTCCTTGAAATCTGTACACTCGACCGACCGCCATTAACAAATGAACTAGATCTCCCACGCTTAGCACCAATGTTCTCACTATCCTCCCAGTCCCCTCTACCCTGTTTCCTCCTCCATAAAGCCGCACCAGCACTCACAGTTCTTCTTGGCGAGTTATCAACACCGATTGGAGGAGGAATTGGCTCTCGATCTGTAAGACTATTTTCCGCCGTAGTATCACCTTCAGGTCTGAAAGCTTTGCGTAGACTTCCCAACCATCCACGTCTACCAAGGCCTATGTGCTTGTTCTTTGATGGACTGCCTATGTAATCATGTGTCATCCTAGTGGGTGTGTGCGGTGATGATTTGGAAGAGGACTCAGTGGGAGACGGGGGCCCCCTGTCAGAAAACTGCTCTGGACGAGGGAGTAATGTTGCTGCTTCTGCCTGCAGGGTAGGAAAGCTAGATTGCGTATGGGCGGTGGTGTAAGTTGAACCGGTATTTTCGCTACCGGAACTTCCCGGAGGGCAAATCTGGGCATTTTGTGCAACAGGGCTGTCGGGCATCGGACTTAGAGTAGCATTTCCTAAACTAATGGTATTCATTGCGTATGTTAAATAGCCTCGAAGTGAATTTGATCTTGTTCCCAGGGAACTGGATCCTGACCGACTTAAAGTAGCAGCGGTGGGAGCCATACTTTGCTCGCTGAGGTTACTGGCTGTTCGAGCATTGTCTTCAGAAAGTTCCCCCGAAACAGAGGCTGGACCAGTCGCTGTAATCAAGTTTGCCCGTCGAGAAGGAGAAATTCTCCCAACAGTTGAATGCGATCTGGCTTGGGCGTGAAGGAGGGCATCTGCAGCCGCCCAGTCTGCAACCCATGCTTCGATCTCACGTTCTCGTTCTTGCGCCGGGGATTCTGAGACAGGCATGGTGACATTTTGGCTGTTGGATTGTACAGGTACTGAATAATTTTGAGTGACTGGATCTTTAAATGGATCCAACCGTCGCTTCGCACCGAAGTAAGCGTCGCTTTCTTCGAATGGAAGAGCAATACCAATTTCAATAGGGGAAATAATATCAGCGTCCTCGTCTGCTTCGTATATAGGATGTATCGGCCCAGCTGCACCAATATTGGCTGCTCTAGGATTTCCACCTACTGAACCAGGGTCGAAAGTCGAAGCAGGCTGGTAAAGGCCTCGATTGTTTCGTACAGCTTTCCTGGGTATTTGCCGAGGTTGAAGTGTGGGAGATCCAATCTCTCCCGCGCCGTATTCGCCTGCATACAGGCTTTCATATCCACCCACTGCGTTTCCCGAGTTTCCCGAGTCATAATAATGATTTTGGCGATCAGAATAGTTGTGATTTTGATACATTTCCTGTGGGCCTGGGTATGCAGTGGCTGCGTTGTAGCCAAGAGACCTGAGGTCTTTTTCCCTCCTCTCATGCCTCGAATCTCTACGCCTCTTCCTGCAGCGAATCAAACACCAACTAAGTCCTGCAACGATAGCAATGAATGCAGCGACACCCAATCCGAGTCCTACGCCAAGGCCGACTTTTGAGGAACCCGATGACGAAGAACTGCTTCGAGCATTAGCCGCGACATATGCTGGATTGGTGTAGTTCGAAATCCAAGTGGAGCTCGTAGCATTGAAAAACATGGGTTGGACAGTTGTGTCAACAGCTCTCTTCATATTGTTGGCGGCTGTTATATTGAATCCACCCAGTACCATCATAACGTTTCCAGGAAGCATCGTTGCCCCGTGCCCATAAATACCATCTCCAAATGGCTGATCCGCAGGTACCGACCATTTCCATCGACCAGTTCCTCCATAGCCCGTCCCAAGTTCCAATATAGCAAATTGTGGATCGGCAGCTTGATTAACGCTACCAACCCATCCGCCCAAAACAATGACTTTAGATCCATCTTCTGTCAAAATTGCCGTGTGCCCTGAACGACTATCGACACTGGTTACTGAACTTTTTACTGTCAATTCTGTATTGGAAGTCTCTGTCGAGGATGGTGGGTCTATTGTGACGAAACTCCAACTCTCCACGGGAAGACTCCAAATAGCAACTTGGCTCATGTTTATAAATGCGCCTTGTGTATGTCCACCGAGAAGTATAAAATTCTGAGTTTGTGTCATAATCCCCGAAGCATTCGAATACGCAGGAAGTAGAGGCGTAATGGTAAATCCCGCCTCAGCAACAGGTGCTCCTCTATTAGCAGTTAAGTCCAAACTGTACGAATCTGTCGATCCAGGTGATATTCGCATCATATGGTTCGTATAATTCGCGTTCGATTGCCATGTCGATATATTCGCCGAAGAACTGGGACACATGCCACCATAGATATAGATATCCGTATATGTAGCATTTGCATTAACTAATGTAGAGAACTGGAATCCACCCGACAAAAATTGCGCGCCTGCGCGACCAGCAGAGGAGACATCGCTGGCCACAATAGTCGTCTCTTTCGCCCACGTCCCATTCCCGACAGCCTCATTTCCTGGTGTATAAGTCCATAACTCAGTGCTGGCAGATTTTGAACAAGAACCAGTAAGCAATGAAATTTCGCCGTCCGTCCCAATCGTAGGTATAAAAGCAGTATTGTTGTCGAGAAATGAAAGATTAGGTGTGAAGGGTTCTAATGTGAGATTGGAAGCGAACAAGGTTGAAGATATATTAAGAGATAAAAACTCAGGTCGAGTGTCTGATTCGGAGGCGACGAGGAAGATAAACGCAGTGTCGTTCCTTTGGCTTGCGCTCGATGGAAGAAGTATCGTGGTAGGATTGTATGGTAAGGTCTGCGAATTTGCGATAGTTGTGAGACTTATCAATGTCCAAAGGACAGGCGATAAATCGGGTTTCATGCTGGATCTGAATCTGAATCTCAACCTGAATCTCAATTTGAAAATGAATCTGAAAATGAAGGTTGGAAAATAAATATGCTGGCGGAGGCTATTCTACTTGTCGATGACAATCACATTATTGTCGCCAGTAAGAATTGCAAATTGAGAGTGGAGAGCTGTGCAGCTCAGCACTGATTCTCCTCGAGCCAGCCCTCTTGTCAGTCAGGTCTCAATTGAAGTATGCTGCCGTCGTTCAGATGTAAACTTCGTCTGTATTGAACAGTAAGTGATACAAAACATCTTCATGAAAACATTAGTGTGACCCGGTCTCCAGCCCCGTTCTGACGATAAACACGATAAACACGAGTTCCAGACCAGCCATGATCATTATTGACATGAAGGGAAGTTTTCCTATTCGTTGACCTAGTGATGACCGTGATTAGCTCCATCGATGCTCATCCTAGTCGCCTTGGATGCATGTGAGAACAACATTGCGGAAACTAATTCCATCATGAGATACTTCTTAGCTAGTGTCGTAGAGTATATACTTTACACACAGACATCGACTACTTTGGTCCATTGATTTGATTGTCCATCATCTCAATTTGCTTGAAGCCATACCGTTGATTTTGATGCTTGATTGAATGGCTTGAAGGGCTGGGGGAAAGGACAAATGAAAATGAAGGGGCTGTCTGTGCCTCGGTTTTTTCAATTTTACGCCTTATCTAGTGAGGGGCATCGGCATCATACCGTTGGATTGGGCTTGTTATGATGAGCTCCGCGACGCATTATCTTCCTACTATCGTACTCGAGTAGGTAACTTCAACATCTCCCTTCATTGTCTTCAAGATCCTTTATTGTATCGTTGTCCTCTCATACATACCATACGAGGTACCCAGTATATGATTTAATACACATTGGTGGCACATACCATATCTAGCCTACCCATACAACACAGCAAACATGCCAGCCTGCACACTTCATCTGCTTTCTCTCTCCGTCACCGTTGCCGATTTCCTCTCAGCCCTTTCAACGACTTCTCTCACCCCACTCACGATTGGGCGGGTTGTGCGTTGGATCGTTCTTCCGACATCCATATCGATCGACCCACTTATCGCACGTAATATCCATTGGGATATTCTGATGATCTTGCCCAATACAGACATTCTTCCAGCCTCACTACAAAAGCTTATCCTTCATCAATGGCAGGTGACAGCAGGAATACCTTCACGATTACTCCATGATTTTGCGTCGAAGAATAGAAGACTGCTTGATCCACGACCTGAAGACACACCGCCCCTAACAGGAAGCTTAAACAACTATCGCGCAAAAGCTTCGGCTCAGTCCCTCGAGCTTTCTCCTCCATTAATGGAATGGATCAAAACCTATAGAAACCAAGAAGGGCGAGGTGCAGTTTCTATGCTCAATCTCCTAGCATTCAAACCTGGACTTAAAGGAGAATACTTGAAATATGGAGCCGAATTTGCAAAGTCCATTGGTTCGAAACGAGGTGGTATTGCCAAAATAGTGGGAACTGTGATACATGAGGGAGACTCAAAAGAAAGAGGTGAATGGGATGAAGTTGCCGTGGCACATTATCCAAGTATCGAACATTTTGCAGATATGTTGGCTAGTGAAGATTATCAGGAAGTAAATCACAGACATAGGGTGGGAAGTTTGAAGGATACTTTCATTCTTTGCACAACAGAATTGGATATGCCTATATGGGGCAAGAACGAGTCGAAACTTTAGGTGTGGGGAAGTTGAGACACAAGTCCGCCTTTTCAGTCAGCTGAATCTGTCTGAGGGATTGTTCCATTGCTAAAATTCGGACTTTCATTGCTATGTCATAGGTGTACTTTGCACATTTTTTTACATCAGACTGCACAACAATTTTTGATAATGAAGTTTTTGTAACTCCGAAAGTTGGTTGCTAAACAGTTATACACATCAATTCTTTGCCTAGCAATCCTAGCTAACCTACGTATCTGTCGCAGAACAATAATACATGCCATTTCCCCTGCAGATATCCTACATAGCATGCAATAGATTCTAGCCTGCAACGAAGAACTCAAGATTTCAAAACCTTCGATTATTGTAGAAAATATAAGAGGCTGATATTTTCCAAGAGAGCACTCTTGATGCTAACAACATTCATGATATAACGGCAAAGTAATTACTTGTTGGGCTCTCGCCATTGATTCCATGCTGGAAGTCGCTTTGCTTGTGTTTCATCAGATACAGAACTTCCGCTTGAGGCGGAAACATCTGAAGAGAAGCCTCTCTTCTCACCTATGCCAAAACCACTAATCGTATTGCCACTGGATGAAGCTAAAGTCTCGCGTGAAGAAGACTTTTGGGGTCCTATGGTGGCTCGGTATTTAGATATGATTGTAGCAATGTCTTTCTTGGCCTGCTGAATATTGTCGTCGGATGCTTTTGCCATACTAGGTAATGGCGTCTCGTAATGCTCCTCTGACAGGATATCTATTACATCTCCACCCAGCATTTCGATACGTAGCGTTGACTCTTTTGCTGCCAGGGACCATTTCCGTAATTTGTGGGCAAAAACATCGCGAGTCTTTTCCATCACCAAACCATGCGGGGTACGATCTTTAACAATAGAAGTCTTGATGAGCCCATTCTGGACATCTGAGGAAAGTTGATTTTCCAAATGCTGTCTTCGTTGTGCTTTTAAATAGAACACATACTTTTGTCTAGCAGGGTCTAATAAAACTTGATCTAGTAATCTGCAGTCTGGGCAGTCCGAGTTGCATCCTCGAATGTCGCGAGTCCATCTTACGGGCTTGACAGGCTTTTCTTCATGATAACGTATGACATACGAGCTGACAATAGTCTGAAAAAGTTGCTTGAATAATGGTGCATTGAATGCGGTCGGGATAACATCGCGCATAGAATTAGCCAGAGCTTCGAGGAATGGCATGAATGTATCATTAAAAGAAGCCCATTTTACAGACTGAACTTGGTCGCAAAGTCCTCTGAAGAGATACTCGAGCTCGAGGAACATCTCTTTTTGGTAAGCCCGACAAACAACGAGGGCTATGCTCCGATACTTCCGCTGTTGCCAGGTTTTACCTAGTGCGTATCTGACATGGTAGCCTGCCTCGCCTTCTGTTGAGGAAATATCGTCTGGCCAGTCTCTGAGATTCAATAACTCCAATCTACCAACATTGGTTGCTAATATTTCTTTAAACACTAGATCAAGTGGCAGCGATGTGCGTTCGCTTGATGAGAGACTTCTTGAGATATGCGTCAAGATTGAGCACAGCATTTGTTGCTTATTCAAACACGGTTTGATGGTTGGAAGGAAACTGACGTCAATTAGTGGAGGTTCTCGATAAATAATCATAAGGAGCATACATTTCGATGATCTGTTTCTCAGACAATACTCTTGCTACTTGAATCAATTGTGCCACATCAGATACACCCAGAGATGGCGCACATGCCGATAATGCTAATTCATATTGATTGGAGGACCAATCGGTCTCCATTTGATATTGAGATAGACTTTCGATCGCTTTGCACCGACTACCGAGAGCGGGAATCGCAGCAATATATGATTCGGCTCTAATACCACTGTTAGCGAGTCAACATTAGCACTTCTGATTGAAACATACCTAGCCAGCATCCATAGAGGTCCCTTTTTCTCCCTTAATTTATCTAGTAACGGCTGATACTCAGGACCTGAGAAGCAAGTTGGTAACGTGCGTTCAAGAAGAACTTCGTCATCAAGGTCTATTATCGAGCTGATTACCAAGAGATATACCCTATGCGAGAACCCCGATAGGACATTACTCGGCCAACCGCTTTCACTTTTCGCAAGTACTATTTCGCATACTTTTTTCATGTCTTCCCGGTCAGCGGCAGGGGATTCGGAAGTTATTTCCCCCAGATCTGCCATATACTTGAGGACACCTTCGTTTCTGTCACTGTCCGATTTATTCAATTTGCCTAACATGAATTGGAATCGAGAAGCTCGAGGTATGAGGACTACCATCTTTGCACTGTCAGCCGTCTGACTGTCTATAATTATTAGCAAGTGAACTTACAGGAGCACCATAATATTTTGTCATGTATTCATCATCGTAGTTCTCTGTATCGGTGCAGGCACCGTCAAAAGGGTCGTCATCGTTGATGAGGTTTATTTCATCAAAAAATCCACAATCTGCACGTAGCAGTTCACCATCGAGATTCACAAGCTTGGTGAGGTGTAATGATTCCTCTTCAACTTCCACCATGACGTGACTTTCGTCGACTGGTTCATCGTAACCATAATAGTCATCTCCAAACGATTCAGCTGGGCCACTGGCTTCTTTCTGTAATGTTGCAAAGTAGAGCTCAAAATTGCTTCCCGCGCAGACTTCCTTGAGTTGATTGACAACAAGACGATCCTTTCCGCGGAGCTTATGAAGGGAAATATCAGATTGGTCGGTTTCTGAAAGCACGTATCCCAGTATATTTTGTGGGACTAACACGCGGTCTCTTGTCCAGGGTTGCAATATACTTTGTAGATTAGACAATGAAGCTTCTATAGCTGTAGCGGAACCTAAGATATGGTATGTCAGAAGATATTTGGACGCTTGACTTGATTATTTCTCTTGCTTAAGGAGGTATACGATGTTGAAAACATAAAAGAAAATTAGAGGCTTGGAAAAGGACATCAAGTTTTAAGTTTCACTCACTAGTCTCTTCCGGTATGGTATGCTGAAGATCATACCTGAGGATAAGGCGGTGGTCTGAAGATAATGATTTACTCTTAACCGATATATCTGTGAACTTTAGAATGGTTAGTTTGGATTACTAGCAATGCAAGAAGGGTATCACAACCCATGAGAGAAATGAGCAGTCCCATTCGGAACATCCGTTGTTGTGTAATTGGAGTTTCTTCCCATTGTGTTCAAGAATGAACTTTTCGCTTCCTCTAGCAGATGGCAGAATGATGTCTAATATTCCAAAGTTGTGTCTAGATGGCATCACAACCGAGCTACATTTTTTTTAGAGCCCGTTGAGCTTTGGGGGACCTCGGAACTTACTTGGTGATCTCTGCGGTACTTCCAGGTGAGTGATACACGAGAGCACACAGCTCTGCATGAGCACTCTTACTCTCCAATCCCAGCCCAATCTTCACTTTTTCTACTATCGATTGAACCACTGGTGTCCAAGCGGGGTTTCTCGTAGCTATCTTGTTGCCGGGAATGGTATACACATGAGAAGGAGTAAGTGTATCTCCAGAGATCTCGCCAGATTCTGAATCGCTTGCTGCCATTATTCTTTCAAAGTCATGCTCAGTGAGCGGGAATCCAATTGTACCATAGTCGTGAAGAAAAATTCCTGGATTGGGTGCGTTCGGAAGGATACCTTGGTGGGAGAATGTAGTACCAATGCTTATATTATCAAAATGGTCCCGGAGATTTGTTTTCAATTTCACAAATGCATCTTCTTGGGTTGTCACAAAAGGTGCATTTAAGCTGCTGCAGGATCTGTCGACAGTAGGAGGTGAATCGTTCTCCGTGTCAGTTCCCGATGTGGAGGAATCATCACTGACCTCCCAAATTTCAGGATCCCCAGGCATTGTTGATCGAGTTGAACTCTTTTACAGATATCGAGGATGAACAGCAACACCGTTATGACATTCGGGATCTGAAAATTTATCACAATTGTTAGCAAATAATCGAACAAGACCTTGTTTGAGCGACTTGCCTTAAATCAGATGTATCATGAGCGTTGAGCGATTATGACGGTAAAAGTATTTGTTCACAAATTGTATTGACTTTCTTGGAAGACGCGATATCAATGAACATGACTTTGTGCCAGTCACGTATTCACGTGTTTGATGATATCATTCACTGTGCTCGGTAGGCTAACCCAATACGATTAGCGCATCCATCATTTGTCTGCTGAATAAGTTGCTGACAACAACCTTCATCAGCATCAAAAATCAATCCACAGCGACTAGTCCAATGTCTATCAGTAAGTTATAAAATCATCAAAAAAATAAATCTAAAATCAATAAGTAATCATTTCCTCATCTTCATGTAAGGTATATCTTTCTTCATCTCTCACATTCCAGCAGACGTGCAGGAAGTCTATATATGAAGCTCTTCATTCTCTTGTCCTCTATTTTCATTGCATCAATTTCAATACTCTTCTACAATAGCAGCACTCCACTATCACAGATCTTTCAATTCTTCACGAACAATAGATCAGCGGCCGAAATACGAACTGACTCACTTACAACTCAATCTTCTATGAGCACTTCATCTGCTATCAAATCAACAATGTCCAAAGCACTTTCACACGCTAAAATTACCCCTCGAAGATCCTCGGCTCGTGGCCATGCTGATCACGGATGGCTCAACTCTTACCACACATTTAGTTTCGCAAACTACTATGACAGCCAATTCCAAAACTTTGGAAGTTTGCGAGTCCTCAACGAAGATCGTGTCGCTGGTGGTACAGGATTCCCTACACACCCTCATCGCGATGCCGAAATCTTCAGCTATATTCTTAGTGGAGAATTGACTCACAGAGATAGTATGATTAAGAAGGGAGCTGAGGGAAAAGAGGGAGACGATTTCTACAGAATGAAGAGGGGGGATGTTCAGTTCACAACTGGTGGAAGTGGTATGTTTATAATTTCCTTGAATGATTAGAGTTTATGCTAACTAGATGCCCCGCAGGCATTGCGCACTCGGAACAAAATGAATCCAAGGAGGAAGTTCACTTCCTTCAGATTTGGGCCCTTCCCTGGGCTAGATCACTCACTCCACGATATCATACAAAAACTTTCTCTGAAGATGCTAAGCGATCAGCGTTCTTACCAATCCTGTCACCATTGAAAGCTGGTCCCGGTGCTTCTGCAGAAGAGGAGAAAGCTGCAGAACCAACACTCCCAGATACCATACCTATACATGCCGATTTTGTCATGGCTACCGGAATAATTGGAGTAGACAAGAGGTTCAAATGGACTGTCGGTGGAGGGGCAACAAAGAGTGCCGAGAACAGAAAAGTCTATATCCACGTTCCCATGACCAAGGGAGGCAACGCAAAAATCAGATTGGACGGTAGAGAAGGAGCTGTTCTTTCAGAGGGTGATGGAGCATTTGTCGAAGCTGTCAAGGCAGGAGATATTCTGAGCGTTGAAAGCATCGGCGAGGCCGAGGCGGAAGTTATTGTATTGGACAGCGATTAGCCGTTTCTCTTGTTGATTTCTAAGTTGTATATATTGATACCAATTTACCATGCATTTTAAGATCTTTCTTCTGAATGCCTAAATTTGCAAATTTCTAGAGATCTCAGCGTTATTACACATATCCCGAAAGAATCACGGTCGAAAAACCAGGACTTGGAAGTAAAGTTACGCAAGACAACCAGTCCAGTGTTGTGTTAAAGTCAAAGTTGATGAATTCAAGTGTCAGTCTTGGATAAATGATCTCATCCCACAAGTGATATTCTCGTCATTTCTGATTATAATCTAGCGGTGACAATTTTCGTTGGTCACACAGTATATGTTAGCACAAGGAGAGTGATGTAGTAAAATCACTTGGACATTGAACATCCAATTCCCTCCAGAAGCGCAGTCCAAGAAATTAGTTAGCTCCATTGCGCAAGCTACGACGCAACTAGAATACATACAAGGTCATGTCACCCAAAGAGAAGCTGTTATAACAGAATAATTCATTTATTACCACATATTGTAGTCGTCAATGAGAGTTTCTGATGAATTCTCAGTTTATAGTAGAAAGCGAAGTACCGATCAAAGTTGATTGAAATGTGTTGCTAGCATTGGAAACGACATTGATAGAATAGTTGATGATTTTAAAGTAGGAAACACAGAATGTTCTATCTCAACTATGGTGTCCCATGCATGGCTTGACTCAAGACAGAAAGTTGATGATGGGAACATAGAAGTGGCGATTAAAAATCCTATCACAAAGAACAGTACTCAAGGGATGAAAGTTGGAAGAATCGTTGTGTAAAGCCAGTGAACTTTCCACAAGTCAAGCAATGTAACCGAAATCACGAATCACGCAAAGTCATCTCATAGATTCACAGGTATCAGATTGATTCAACAATAACTGCTTTTCAATTAAGATTAAAAATCACAAAAATGCCTCATCTGCCCATCTCCAATATAATGCAAACACAATCTCAGAGACGTGTTGCTGTCGAATTGAAATAACCCCCAAACCAAACATGCAAGCCGCGATGAATAAAAAATAAAATTAAAGCCCAACAGTCCCGCGAACAAACGAAGAGACCGATCAAGTATACTAATACTCAATCTACAAGACGTTGGCAATGGCGAAGACGGCAGCAAGGAATCCCCATGCGGAGATAGCAATGCTGGATCCAGCACCGGTGAATTGCTCAACACCGGAAGCGTCTCCGGTGGAGACTTCTGGGACGAACGACTCATCAGTGGCACCGACAGTGCCGGAGGCATCGCTGGCGGCGACTGGAGTACCGGAGGCGGCGGGGTCAGCAGCGACCGCAGCGGCCTTGCTTCCGAACCATGATCCCCATCCATTGCTGTTGCTGCCGAAGTTGAGTCCCAAGTTCTTGTTCTGTTTAAATTAGTAACTGTTCATAACGAGAGATTACGGATATGAAATCTCAGTGAAATGAGTGCACTTACGATGTTTTCATTAGCGTTGCCATTGATGTTAACATTCTCGTTCTTGTTGATGTTGGCCTATTGCGAATGATGTGTCAGTATATGATTGTTGAAGATGGAGATCTGTCATTTGCTCACATTCAAGTTCTGGTTCTCATTGGCATTGAGGTTGGCGTTTCCATTGAGGTTACCGTTGGCCTGTAATATGGTTAGTCAGTTCTTGTTAAGCTCTTTACAGCCAATTGCAGAAAGTTGAGTATTAATTCAGAAGGGGATTATTGGGGCATGAAATTGGATGTGCTTACGTTGCCGTTTCCGTTTCCGTTGCCATTTCCGTTTCCAGGCTTTCCTCCATCAGGCTTTCCTCCATCAGGCTTTCCGCCATCAGGCTTTCCTCCTGATGGGCTAGTTGCACCACCTTCCTCTGCGGGAGCACCTGGAGAAACAGGATCGGTCGCCTCAGCATCCCCCTTTGGCTTTGGCTTTGGCTTGTGTGGAGATTGACCTGGTGGGCATACACAGTTTCCATCGATGTCTTGATAGTTGGCACCAATTGCGGGGCCAGCATAGGAGACAGCTCCCCATGGGCCTGCAGCAGAGCCAGCACCCCCAGCAGCGTTGATGCCGACTTGAGTGGCATCAGCAGATGCTGATGCAGCGGCTTCTTCTGGCTTGGTTGGCTTTGGCTTTGGCTTCCATCCTCCGGCGGCGTTCTGTGCCTCAGGACCTTCCTCTTCGTCGTCGTCTCCACCACGTTGTCGCTTCCATGGTTTCTTAGGAGGAGTGGTGTCTACGATATGGGTGAATGATGTACCACTGTCCGAGTTGGCACCTTGCTCCTCTGAAAATCATGATATTAGTTGTGATATAATGCAGAACAAGAAGGGGTCTCTTACGATTGGTAGCAGCAGTCAAAGATGGCGCGTTAGTGCCATCATCTGGGTAACATTGGCAAACTGCTTGCTGATTTGCTCCAGAGTTTGATGATCCGTAGGCCTCGGCAATTGTAGTCTCCTTTGATGGTAGTGGTTTCCATCCTGCTGTTATTAGTACGTCGTATCATAAATGCCTCGCAATTTAACACTCACCACCTTGAGGACTGTTGTTTCCCTGAGGACCATTGTTTCCTTGAGGACCATTGTTTCCTTGAGGTCCATTGTTTCCTTGAGGACCGTTGTTTCCTTGAGGACCGTTGTTTCCAACATCAGTGCCCCCAGGTCCACGAATTGGTCCTCCTTGAGCAGCAGCGAGATGGGCCGTAGCCAAAAGAATTGAAAGAATTGTTTGGGTCTTCATGATGAAAAACTTTAATTTCAAGTAAGTGAATGTGGTACGTCTTGAAGACTATTTATTGTTTGGAAGAAAGAGTGTATACAAGTTGGTTCCTGATGTACGAGAAGAAGGAAAGATGGAATTGCATCGTGATTATATATTAAAATCATCAGTGTTGTGATTCAGATTCAAGCACCATTGTCGAGGATCAACGCTGTTAGGAATGAATCTCCGCCATGGGCGGAATATCAAACATGGGAATGTAAAATCAAAACAGTCTACAAAGTCTCGTGCTTGATGGCGAATTAACACAAGATAAAGATTCTATTGGGCCTTGTACCGAGATTTCGGGATATTCCTTCACTGGAGTGTTGATTCCGTTAGTGGTAGCATAACTGCCAAGATGCTGCTAGGAGGAGAATGTGTGTTTTGGTTGAGGAATGCACTTGAACTCGCTAAAGACCAATCAAGATAGCCGTGAAATCAAAACATAATCCATCCACATATCACAGTTTGTCAAAGAAGCACGCATCGTGAGAAATATTTACGACGCCACACAGTTGAGGTATGAACTACCCCTTCAGCACGAGTTTCAATCCGGTAATGATAACATATTTAGTGAATATGGGAAATTCCCAGATACAATTCCTCGAACCATAATCAACCTCTGATATTGGAGCCCTTCTAGAACTGTCCAGGGGCGGGTATGGCGTGCTGAATATGGCATTTTGTCAGAATTGTATTGAAAGTGCATCTAAGCACTCCAGCTTCCAAGGTTGCTAGTTACTTTGCAGTGTGGCTATCAACGTCCGTATTCCAGGTGAAAATTCACTTCAAAACCAATCCCGTATAGAGAGAACCGTTACCATGAATTTTATCCTCCAGTCCAATCCCTCCAGAGTGTAATTGAGGTGTTGAGAGAAAAATGTCTAGACTGGTATAGCCAGTTTTACCCAGAGTCTTAAAAATATCTTCTTAGTAGTGATGCAAATTAGCAATGAATCTGGCGCGGACACTTGCCGGCTGTAAAGAAGAGGTCCAAACGTTAGAAGATGACTATCAGTACAATATAATAGATTCACTGCCAAACCCCTCCTTCAGCAGTTTTGATCTGCCAGAAACCTTCAAGATGTTGATGACCTGTAACTTACGGCCTTCGTATCCTCGAGCCACCATCAATAGCATCAAATTGATCTGAACTTTGAACCATAGCACGAAATCCGTCAAAATGAATTTTCAGTCCATACACAATTTTGAGTTCGTTCGCACAGAGCCAACGACTTCTCGAATCCTCTTTGAGATTCTCCTACCTGATTGCGACAATGCCATCTTAAAAATTACCGCCGAGGGAGTCTCAAATTTCATCTTCTACGCATATATCCTCTCCTCCATTTATTTCCTCCACATTTTCCAACGACTTATCATCCACCATCACAGAGCCTTCTCCTATCAATCTCTCCCAGTAATCGCGATTCAATTATCGAGTACAAACAATGTCGCAATCTACCTACATTGTGTTTGGGACAATCTTTTTCGATACCTTTTCAACACTCTTCTCGGCCTACCGTATGGATCTTCGTTCTTTTACCCCACTCCTCAATACTTAATAGAGGTCTTCCTACGCATTTCTATCTATCACCCGACATCTGAAGGCCTTAACTTCTGGACAAAACAACTTCTCGTTCTCGCCATTGAAATGGCTGTGCTGAGCATTTCTAACTGCATCGTTCCGTGGTATGAAGCACAGCAAGAGCGATGGCGCATGTCGACGGATCCCTTAGCAGACAAAGAGTTTCAAATTCAGGCCAATGCAAGTGAATTTGTTAAAAGGGCATGTCAAAATGGAGATCTAAATCATCAGTTATCTCACATATCTGAACCTCTGGAGTTGCAACTTGAAGATAATCAGGGAGTTCAAGGCAAAGATGACGAATACCAAGCTCTTTGTTCGGATATCAGCGATGCTGTTGAAGACCTTGAAAATATTATCTCGCAAACTGGAGACTCTGGTGTCAGCAACGCTCATGACCTTGATACTTTATGGGGCTTGATAGAGAGGAGTAAATGGGCCGTTGAAAGTGAAGACGGTGTCAAGGAAATACACGGTGATGAAATCGACGAAGAAGAATGGAGCATCCTTGGGGAGAGTGTTGTTCTGGTACATCGAAACGAGGGAAACATGAGCAGTTGATAATGATATTTGAAGCAAAGGGGGATCACATCAGCCATAAACAATACTTGTGGACTTAACTTCAAAAAGGACCAAAAGTATCATGAGAAATAGCGCGCACAAAGGTGTTGTCAAATAAAAGGATGAACTGTCATGCAACTACGACTTGATGCTACCACTTGACCGCTCTCATTGTGACCATACTCCGAATTGAATGACGTACCTTGTGTTTGAGTAAAACTATTTGGTTCCCACAGATAATCAGAGTTCTAAACTTGATGATCAGACATAAAGTGATATTATCAAAAGTAGCAAGAATTAGTGAATGTTTCAGGGTTTAAAATCAAAGGAGGTTAACAATCGGCAAGAGATAAACTCACTAGAACAGTATGAAAGAGAAGGTAGAACGACTGCCTGATGAAGCAGAAACATAATAATCTTGGAACATAAGAAAGATATACAAGTATTAAATAGTATCGATGAATTTTCTTGCTAACTCCAAACCTGCGTAGCTACTAGATATCATTCTGCTTTACAAAAGAAGATATATTTCAAGTTATCCCGTCGGACAGATATGAAGTTCCTTCTCATGATAAGATCAGTATTCTAAACATCTACCTTCACCACCAACAACGACAAAATACTCTCAGGAATTGGCCACGAAAAGGCGCTTGCGACAAGATCAATGACCATGCTAAGAACGGAGAAGAGATAGCAGGACTCCTAATGCAGGACAGGGAAGCGAGCTACGTTTCTAGCACTTTGCTGAAAACCATTCCAATTTAAAACTAAGGCTGTGATAGTTGATGTAGGATATTTTGGGGAGTTGTAAATGAAAGGTAAAAAATCTAATAGAACTCAACTACTCAGACCTAAGTGACAGCTGTGTTTAGGTGTCCTGGTCCGATTACAGATGCAGAAATAGAGATTACAATGGATGTCTCAATGTTGGACAGTATGCTCATTGATGATTGATGAGTTGACCCCTCTTTCCATCTTACTGGTATTACAATCGGAGCTTTATCGTCTATAAGGGGCAATAGAGCAAGATGCAATGCTGCAGCTATGTCAACTCAAGACGATGCAATGCTGTAACATAATTCAGTTGCTCCGATCAATGCTAGGGATTCAAGATATCCAAAGGCTATGCTCAAGGTTCATAACAGCCATGAATGGTTTCTTGGTTGAAAAATTTGTCTTACTAGTCCACCATTCTGAAATTGGTTTCTCTTTCAAGATGGCAATGAAGAAGGACGGCGTTGCAGCTTCTTCATTGGATTCAGTGCTTGAAACCAACGACAATCGACAATTTTAGATTAATTGAGCCTTCTCATTACACTTTGAGCCTGTTCTCAATTTCAAAGGCCCCCCAAGAAAGCTTTTAACGCAAACAAGTAACTTTGGACTGCACAGCTTCTTCTGGCCTTCCTGGGGTGTAGATTGGAAAGAAAGACAGACTCATGACCTTGCCGTTGCTGAGACAAAGATGTGGCCGATTAGTATCGAGAGTCAGTATGTAAAAGATATTGAGTATATGAAGAAGGAAGCTATAGAGCTGCAAGATTGCATTCATAACGACTGGAAAGTAATCTGTAGAGGCAAGTACATCTCAAGTTCCTGCTGAATGCATTGAGAGTGCTCTGAAAAAGGGAAATTGGTGAAAACAAGTGAATACTACACTATGTATTGGATCTCATCTCGAGTGATCCTCATTGTTTCTGCTTAGAAATGATTGGGAGCATAAGCAAACATTTACCATCACCCAGAAAACATATTTTCAATGTATTATCTGAGTGAGATCTTCTTATAGTCGGAAAAATTCATAAAATTGATGCTGTATTCTAGCTGTTCATCCAACCGTAGCACCCTAATTGCTACCATACCCCACGGCTTTGTTCCGCGCTAAAAGCCCGGTCCAGCCCACCGAACCCCAAAGTCTGAACCTCCAAATCAATATCACAACCATTTCAACCACTCTTGCGACAACAACCCAAAATCGCAATAATGGCACTTCAGCAAGAAGATATCAAAGCTCTCGAGCAAACTCGTCAGCGTCTCTTAAATTTGACTGCTAATATCGCATCTCTGAAAGCTGATTTCCAGAGGGGCGCACCTCTACCTGAATAGTTCGTACCTTTCTCATACTTGTCGCATTCTGGATTGCGCATTCATTTTTACTAATTGGTTGACAATAGCTCCTCAATAATGACATCTTCATCCATTCTAAGTACAAATATCCAATCTGTCACCGATCATCTCGCCGCCAATAATGAACTTCTCTCTCGAATCGTCGCATTCCCCTCTACCAATTTCCCCGGTCGCACACAAGAAGGACTTCTCCTGCAACTACTGCGCAAAAAGCTAGAACCACAAGTAGAGACTTGGGTTGATGAGGGTCGTAATTTACAGATAGATGGTGCGGAAGGCGGGGAAGATATTGAAGAAACCTGGAAATGGGCGGCAGATTGGATTGGGCCAAGGATAAGAGAATATGCAGCAAATGAGGCTACAGATGAGTATACGTGGGAGGAGAGGGCGAGTGGTGATGTTGACAATGTCAACACAGGACTTAAGGATGAGGAAGATACTGACGATGAAGATGAAGATGAGGAGGAGGAAGAGGATGATGATGAGGTTATGGGAGGAATGGGTAAACGTGCCGAAAAGAAAAAGGCAAAGGCACCAGAGAAGGGAGTTACGAGGAAAGACGGAAGAGTGAGGACCAAAGAAGAGATACTAAGATTTGCTACCAGTGGGGTTATCTGAAGCTAATCCCCCACGTGGGAAAAACAAATCATGCTGTATTGGCGTAATCGCCGAACATAGAGAGGTTCGAGCTTGCACCCTTGGTGGTACGACATCACCGTTCATACGAGAGCAGAGTTTCATGTTCCAATGGACGGGCCTTACCAGGATGCTTCTGAACCCTCAGCTGGTTGGTGTAGTCACCAGCACCATCATTCGATGTTAGGAGATCGAACTCCATATTCGTTAGCTGAGGGTGGTGCTAAATCACGAGGGCCGCATTTCTCCCTCAAGCTGCCGCAGAAGCAAGTGCAGACATACTTTTACAAGCTACTTGTATGAATGATACTCTTTATAGAGTTTAATATCAATCAATATACAATATAACCCTCAAAGTGGTTCTAATTTTCAAGAATCAATGCGTATAGATTTGTGACTGTTTGCAGCAAGAGAAATGGTGATCTAAGCAGATGATTACATAGTGCTTGGGTATATATCACTTCTAGCCATGAAATACTTACAATCTACTTTCATTTCGAAATTCATCGCCAAGGATCCACAACTTCCGAATCCTTCCACCGTCTTTACCTCTCTTGACCCCCTTCTTCATTGATTCCTTTTCATCTTCAAAATTGCATTTTTGGGTCTTGTCTTTCTGTTATGTGAAAACGTACCACCCATCACCTCTTTCTTGCTTCCCTCTCACTATCTTTCCTAATAATATTTTGTAAACCTCATAGATATGAACAGCGAGACTTTAGCTAAATGGAGGTTTGAAATGCTTGTGAAAAGCATGAATGATGAAAAGTGATGAAAGGCAATGGAGCGGTTTTTGCAGTCAGTGTGAGGCAGGAATTTTGGATTGGAGAAAAGGAATGATGAAGAGTAATAGGGGAGAGAACGAAAGAATGAGGGTTGGAGCCAATGAAATTCCTTGGGATAGATTACTTTTCGAAAATGGAGACGATTGAAGGGATACAGAAGTTTCAAAGAATGGAATAGGTCGGAGTGAGGAAGGAAAGGTCCGGATCTGTCTTGATCTCGCCAATAAGTCGATTAGCTATGTGGAATAGGGATTTTCCGTGTAATGATTTGGCAATAATAATCTTAACAAGGAGAGGAACTAACGGGAGGTATATATAGCATTAGCTTTGACAAATTCACAAATCGTGCAAAAGTAAGATAGCAATATAGGACAATTAGATTAGATTCTTCCATCTACTCATCCGCACAATAGATCATAAAGACTTCAACTGCAACATGCAGGAGTCGAAAACAGTAAAATGTTGAAAAATCAAATGATTCCAGACACGCATCTAACCACGTCTACGTGTGCTAGGACTCTTGGCTGTGCTCTTTTGAGATTGAGTGGTAGTTGCAGCAGGGGAGGCTGCAACAGGAACCTTTTGCTTTCCATTTGAGGACTTCTTGCTCTTGCTCTTCTTGCTCTTGGTCTTGCTAGGTGAGTTCCAGTAGTATACCATTTGGAGAGCTAGAATTGCGTTGAGTGCAAAACCGGCGATGAATCCGTAGAGGATAAGCTTATCGTCTACTTCCTGGAGGGTAGTAAAGATTCTGGAGAGGGAGCCAGCGAGATAATTGAAGACCTGGAGATTGGAAATTAGTATTATGTTATTTGTATGTATAAAAATAGACAAATAAAAACTTACAGCGAAAGCGCTCAACTGTCCTGTTCCTCCCTCTTGCCAAACGGTCAAGATCTGTGGCAATTTACTTGCTACTCCCAAAACTCCAGCTCCAGCTTGTAGGTATGCCAATTGTTGCATATCTAACATGTTTCCGCTGAACAGCGTAACGGCACTTACGGCCAATCCTGCCACGAAAAGAGCGGCGGTGCTAGCTCTTCCGCTGTAGTTCAAAACCAAGACCGCAATCACTACATTCTGCACCATGATAAGAGCGGTCTCCCCATATGTGCTGAAGGGGAATTCTGATCGATAGTTGTATGCGAGGGAAATGAGGTAGGCGGATGTTTCGAGGAGGTAGGAGAGGAAGGATATTCCGTCGGAAGATTTGGAGGAGATAAGTTTGAGAAGTTGAGGAATCTTGACAATCGAAGAGGCTGCTATGATTCCTACTCCAAGACCCTTAGAGATACCCAGTTTGAGACATTCTGTGTGGGTTGGATCGATATCGAGGAGGAGTGTTTTGTAACATTTCTCGCCGATGAGAGATACTCCCAAATCTTTGATAGGCGCAGGGAGGTTATGGGTTATGGGTTGGAGGGCGGTACGAAATTGATCCATGGTGAGGGTGTTTCGCTTTGCTTTACAAAAATGGAAGAGTGCAGTGCAATAACAACTTTCGAATGTTTTTTTGTGAGGTTTTGATCAATAATTTTTTTATGTTGAGACACGACGAGGCTGTCAAGTGGAAATTTAGTGGGAACAGTACTGAGCTGACAACGCTAAAATTGAGGATGCAAAAGACCACCTTTCACAAATCCTTCAATTCAATCTTACAAATTCAATAGTAATTTATAACATAACATAACACAATCAGATGAGAATTATTGGGTAGGAAAATGCATTCATGTAGGTACTGCCCAATAGAGAAAAGAGGGATGACAAATTGAAGTCTTCTTACAAAAGCGTTTGTTGTCAAATTCGTCGGACATTCAAGTTGAAAATGCAATATACCTGGAATCATCGGGATAGCCAGATCTCGTAGCATATCAACCTACAGAAATATCTTTTGCTTTTAGGGTCAAACCTATCAGGTAGTTATCTCAGCCTCACTACTTTCAAGACCAAGTGGACTTTACATCTCTCATTGCCCTGAAATGGTGTTGACTAAAGAAAGAGGAGCACAAGTCGTAGAATCACATTCCATGTTTTCTGACTTAGCCCTAATGCAATCGATTCCTTCTTCCTCTGCTTTTAGTGGCACTTCTCTGAATATTACTTTCCACAACATCCATGACTCTGTTTCAGGACTGGCTCTCTTCATCTCACCCAGTCCCTCGCCTGAATGCTCAATTACGGCACTGAGAGTTGCCCAAGAGGCACCCGTACTGTGGGGTTGAACGCTCTCAGTGCGCTACATCCTCTTAGTAGATTACTTACACCTGAAAGCCCTCCCATGGTCCTCTTGATTCGAGCTGGCGGCTGGCTACAATTTCTGTGCTCTCAGAGGCAGGAACGATTCCATGTTTCAAGACGAACTTCGTCGAACACCTTCTTGATGCGTGATTGATGTCTTTACACGGCCCACTTTCTATAAAGAAGCTAAGTTCTTGGGTATCTTACATATTGGTGATTGCTCAACGAGACTTCTCACCCAGTTATTGAACCGTCGTCCAAGTTCTTGTGTTTGTTGCCAGCAAGGGAGTGAAGAGTGAGAAGCAACGACTTTGTGCATGGGATAAAGTCTGCCGTGTTCCATGCGACGGAAGGGTGCTCATTTATTCCTTGATTGACAGAAGTCAAACACATGTCGATGATGATTTCAAAGACATGCTGTCAAAGATTTCATCTCGTCCGGGACGTGTTGCGTGCAGATTAGGCGAATAATGAAAGAGGGAAAGACTTTTCTAATTCATCATGCCCAAATTTATGCCATTTTCATCGACGAATATACATATATATACCTGGTTTCCTCCCACGCACAAACAACATGCCTTTAGAAATTCATACCACCAACCAAAGCACCATATCTACCAACTCCCTAGAAATAACGCAGACCCTAAACCCTTTTCCCTAATTTCCATCCTGCCATTCCCATTCTCGCTACCCCAATCACCACACCCCCACCCACCATAGACACCGCACTAAAAATCTGCAGTCCTAAATACCCATCTCCACTCCCTCCTCCATTCAATATCGCTCCGCTAATTGGCAATCCCGTGAGACAACTAATCGCAATGACACTCTGAAACGTGCCGAATCTTTGACCCAACGTTTGAAGCGTACCAGATTTCGCACAACAAGGCATCATTAGAGAGATGAAAGCACCAGATAGAAATCCATAAACTACAGCGAAGAAAATCAGGCCGACGTGAGAAGAATGGTATGTGAAAGGAATCCAGAGAGTGATAATTGAGAAGCCTGTTAGTATACAGACGATGGTCATTGTGTTGAAGTATCCGATCGTGTCGGCGAGGTGGCCAGGGAGAATACGGCCTGGTATGGAACCGGCGCTGAGAGGTCAGAATATCAGACATTAAGAAGATAGTGGAGTCTTACTTGATCAAGGAGATTAGATAAATGGAGAGAGAATTGGAGAAGCCGTGATTAAGAGCCATACTTGAGAGGTAATCGAATGGTGCCCAGAGTCCCCACCTGTTATACGAGTCAGTTATGGAAGAATCAACAATAACCAGAGGGACAAAGCACATACATGACGAGAAAAGCACCAGCGGTGTATAACGCAAACTTCGGATCCTTGAAGAGGATGAAATCTACCCATTTTGCTTCTTTATTCCATGTTTTCTGAGGCATGCGCGCCCTGACAAGAAAGCACGCACAAACTTGAAGGATGCCAATAAGAAGCGCAACATAACGGACAGTACCATAAAAGCCGACTTCATCAATGAGTTTATTGACGAAGATTGGAAATACCACTCCGCCTATCCTCAAAGTCAGCTAGAAAGAATCGCAAACGTAGGAATCAAATTCGTACCCAAACTACTTCCAGCAGTAACAATTCCGAGAGCCAATCCCCTCCTCTTTTCAAACCATTGTCCTGCACACACAAATGCAGCTACAAAGATACCGCAGGCCCCAAAACCGAACCCAATCCCTTGAGCAAGAATAATTTGATAATACTTATGACACAGTGAAGTCATACACAAGGAAAAGACGCAAAGAACGCTGCACGGTATCAAGACTGGAGTAGGACCATAAGTATCCAAGAGACGGCCAAACAACGGAGCTGGAAGCCACATGAGACATAATTGTAGAGCGAAGATCCAAGAAATGGTAGAGGGGGTATATTGACTGAGTTCTTGAAGTTGGTAGTACGTCTGGAACACTCCAATTCTGTATGCTTGCTATGAGCGGTATACTCAGGAACATATGTATGGGATGTGAATAGGACATACGCATTGAGGAAACCAAAGGTGGAAAACATGCACATTGAGCAACCGATAACGCATAACCAGCCTGTAAGACCTCCTTCAGGAGGAATGATGGGAGTGATGGGCTCACTTGGATGTCGATTGGAACCAACACTTACTTCCGTACCATCGAGCTTCTCGATGTCGTGATCTTGCAAAGCCATTATAAATCATGTAGACCTGGAGATGAAGTGGGCTCGTGAATCGTGTCATAATTTTTTAAGTAACTTCTGGACATTTTAGATGTTACAGTTATCCTAGTATATCTACATTCTCGCTTGAAGTATCATTGGGTGGGTGGATGGAGTGGATATTGCGGAAGACTTTGATTATTCTTAAAGAAGGCAGTGGAGATGGGCAAAAATATCTGACGAAGAATCATTAACGTGGTTTATCATCGAGTGGGCCATATCATCGAGTGGGCCACTTTTCCCTCAATTCACACCTTCAAATCTATATTATTCAACAATCATTAAATCAATTGATTGAAACTATTAAGATTCTAATAATCTAGAATCTATTATATCATTTTGACAAGTTCTTGTATTATATCCAGTCTTTCTATATTTACTATAGTATCGACTAGAAGATACTTCCCTATTAGAATTCCTCTCTTTTTGATACTCATCGTGTTGAATCTGAATATCAACTTTTTGTTGAGATAATATATCAAGAGCCTTTTGTTCAGTAAGTATTCTCCCTTGATGTAATTGAGTTTTTTTTGTGTGTTGATGTTTGCTTAATATCTCATTTGCTGCTCAAAGTGTACGAATCTCTGTATTTAAAAGTGTATTTTTATAAACTAATCTTTTTGTACCTTTAGTTAGAACTAGTACAGTTTCGAATATAGGTATAGGGGAGCTTGATTGATGATGAGTTATTCGAGATTTAACTAATGTTGATTGAGAAAGAGCTTCAGTTGGATTGTAAGGGGTTTAAGAGATTCATTAATTTAAATCGAAAGAAAAGGGAGTAGGTGTACGAATTCGAATATCTAATTTCGAAAGTATAGCTTCAGGATTAAATAGGATTAAACCTATTCCTCAAAACCCTGATTTTATATTCTGAGAGGTAATTGATTTTTTATATATAGTTTTAAAAGCTATAAAGAATTTAATTTTCGAAATATGATTGATATGTGTTTTGATAAATTTATTAATTTGATTACTATATGAATATTTCAGATTGTTAAAATAGTTTATATCAAGTGGTTGAGTTAAATGATTTGAATATAATAATAGATTTAAGTATATGATATTGTTTTCTTTGTAATATGCTTGAAAAGCTTTTGATTTATAGTTTTTATGTCTGTCTAGTATTAATATTCGATATTTGCTCTTTCTTCGGTTCTTAGTATGCTTATTGATGTTAGAGTAGATAATAGTAATAAATCAACTAGGTATAATGTAGTATAAAGACTTTTCATTAATCCTTCTAAACTATAAAAATTCTACAATTTATAATTGTGTGTAGATTAGCATCAGCCTGAAATAGCCTTGCAGGGGTTATTCATATACCCTTGCTAGTTTTTACACAGATTGATTGTAATAGAGTTCTTTATATTACACATTATATCCCGAGATATATATATTTATCTCTCAAACTCAATTTATGTAACACAAGAAAATAGGATGCCGAATAATTGTATTTATACCATATACCAAAAGAAAGTAAGAATATTATAAAGTTACAAACAATTAATAAATAATATTCCAATATATTCATTACTCTCACTAGCAGATCACCAAAGGCTCTATAAATTCCCTTCAATTTTCTGAATTTGTTTTCTTTTTTAATAAATTATTTTTTATTATCTTTTTATTAATCTTTATCTTATTATAATTGTTCTTCAATTTATTGGCCTTTAGATAATTATGGCTTGATTTGTAATAAATCCTATTGATTTGATTATTCCTATATGTCTTTGTTGTTCTAAATATATTATATCTTTTACCCTTAAAGATTTCTGTTATTACAACAAGGGTTTTTATACTAAGTATAACTATTATTATACCTAGAAAAAGATCTATTAGTTAATGCTTTTTTGATATATTCCCAATATTAATTTACTATATCAAATCTAAGCTTTTTGACAGATTACTTTTACTAATAATTAAAAGGAAGAAAATGCTAAGATTGTGATAATATATTAAAATAAGTGTTATATTAGAAGTATAAAGGCTTTTTTATAAAAGGAGAATAAATAAAATAATACTAAAAAGCCAAAATTATTCGAGATATTATTTCTATTTACCATAAAGAAATTGGATTAAATAAATAATTTTATAAAGTGTCTTGTGGACTCTTATTAAGTTATTATCAGTTATTTTTTATTTCCCTATAATAATATTCAATTAATTTTTTTAGATTCTAGAATAATTTACCTACACTAAATATTATTATTTCAAACTTTATTATAAGACTAATAGTTATAATAAATTCAAATAATAAGGGTGACTTTATAATTCCAATTATTCATTTTTATACTGTTAATACCCCCACTCTGTTCCCTACTTCCTCAGGAGGTAAAGCTCCAGATACCGTAAATATACTAATTAATTCGAAGAACCACATCTCCCCTCATACCAACATTCAATTGTTATTTTACTCCTATTCTTGTATTTATTCTTTTATACCCAAGAAGAATTATTTTAAATATCCTAATAAATCCCTTTTTGATTTTAGTGGTAATAAAAAGAATAATTCTTTTTTTTATCAGATTACTGGTATTCTTTAATATTCTAATATTCCCTATATTTCTAAAGATAATATTAATATTACTATTCCTTAGGCAAAAAAGTGTACTACTAGAGATTCAATAGTTTCTGCCTATTAATCTATTATCAGAAACTTAGTTATTTAAGTTATTCTTTTTTTTTATAAAGCTTCCTATATAATTTTGAAATAAAAAATAGTATTAATTATTACTAATTCCCTTTCTAATTCTTAATATCGGGATACTAATATTCCACTAAAAGCTAAGACTTTTTATATAAATTATTCTATTTATACTAAAAAGTTTAATGTTATTGTAAGTTCTCCTAAAAGTATTCGATTTTGTAAATATTTATAGATTGTTAATAATTCGTTAATAAAGGTTTGAAAGTTTAGTAAGGTTTTTATAAAAATAAAGAAAAAGGAAAGTATGAATAAAAATAAAATGGATATATTTTTGGTAGATAAGGGTAAGCAAAGCAATAGTGATGTAGGTAATACTATCTTTAGGATTCTCCTTTTTATACCAAATCTTCTTAATGTGTAGAGTAAAAGAATTAATTCTTATTATAAAACTTTTTCAACACATTAATATAGCAATATCTTTATAACGACATTCTTGTATTAATTAAAAGCATATTCTTACTAGAAATAAGGTTTTATAAAAAAAATAGCAATAATCTCATTAGCCAAATATTGATAAAGATTCAGATAATATCAATTTTAATATTTATGAATTAAAGTTTAAAGTATTTTAAAAATATTAGAATAAATTGGTATATTTAATAATAATATGTAGTATACTAATAAGTAAAGGGTTACATTCTTATTCTTATTAAGATAAAAAGGAGTAAAGAAAGGAATATTGCGAATAGCTTTATATTATTAATAATTTACTTATGGGTATATAGCAAAACCTTATTATCTTATAGCTTTTTTTTTTTTTTTTTTTAAACTGTATATTGATAATTCTTTTCTTTTATTATATTCTTCCAATACTTTTTTTGTATTATTAAGATTGTAGAGGGCTTTCTATGTATTTTCTACTAATTAATAGTTTTTTTATTAAACTAGGTATTGAATATCTTTATCTTTCTTTTTATATACTATAATCTTTTTTATTTTGTATTTCAAGTAATTATCTATCTCCTCTAATAACAATAGATTAGCGATATTCTATTGTTTATACTATGATTTTAATAGGGAAATATGAAAGATATTATAAATCTTATAGATAGGTGATAATTTGAATTTATATGCTTGATCACTAGTTTTTATATTTATTATTTGAAAAGGGTCTATGAATCTATCCGAAAACTTCTTTTTGGATTGAAGTTACTTAATATTTCGAATACTTAACATCACTTTGTTTTTGATATTATATTACTAGATTATTGTACTATTTGTATTCTTTAATTTTCGGTTTATAGCTATTTACCACAATTCTCTTAATTTTTCTCTTTCTTCATTGAGGGAGGCGATTTGCTTATATACTACTAATGCTTTTCTTGTGGTATCAGTATCCTTGTTGATGTAGTGAAATATTGGTAGAAATCCATATATTATTTGGAATAAGCTTGTATTTATTATATTATACCACGTAGCATTATAAATAAATTCTACAAATAGTAGTAATAAAGATTAATTATTTTATCGATAATTAGAATAACAACTAATATAATAAATCAGATTCTAGTTCTATTGTTCTGTTTGCCCATTAATCTGAAAGTGGAATATAATAGACAATTTGTGTCGTATTTACAAATAAAAAAGAAAACTATTTTAAAACTTGTTTACAAATTATAATCCCCTATCTGATATGATATTTTCCAATATTCCGAAGTCTTTAAATATACTCTACATCAGCATTTGAGCAAGTTCTGGTAAGGTAATCGTTTTATTAACGGGTATGTATCGGGCAAGCTTTATAAATCTATCGATAATCATTAAAACCATATTATATATATACTTACCCAATTTCGATGGGGGTAGATTTATAATGAAATCCATAGTTATCTCTTTTTAAGGTTTATGGGGAATAGGGAGGGTTTATAACTTACTATAGGGCTTATGCCTTTTAACAACGGTACGCTGGTATACCACACATATTTTAATATATATTTTTATATTCTTTTTTATTAAAGGCTAGAAGTATTTAGATCTCAAGATTTCTAAAGTTTTAGAGATATTCTAATATCCATTTATAGGGTTATTGTAATAGGTTTTCAAAATCTTTATTTTTAAAGTAAAATCTAACGGTATGTAGATGTTTTTATTATATTTAAAAAGTCTATTAATACCTATCTATTAAAATAAAGTAATTCTAGTGGAGTGTAGTTTTTAATTCAGATACTCTTTATTTTTTATAAAATCATTATCTATTTAAAAACACAATAAAGCATTTCTTATTGTTTCTGATATTAGCTTAAATATTGTTTTATCTTCTACTAAAATACAAATTATTTAATGTAATATTAATTATTTATAATTAATTTTAATTAAT